CTCACCTAAAGTTTGACTTGCGTACCTCATTCTTCTCGAACTAGGACTCCACTCACCGCTATCTCCGAGACAACTAGATATAGGTATAGTTGTTCGTCTGCCTTCGGGGTATGGAGCAATGGAGGGCTCAATAAATATCGTTTTAGCTCTTCCAAAGCCTGCTGACACTCCGGAGTCCATGCGAAATTGCTTTTCTTTTTAAGTAGAGAGAAAAATTGGTGGCTCCTATCCGAGGATATCGAAATAATCGTCCCAGGGCGGCTATCCATCCTGTTAGCCTTTGCACGGCCTTTACATTATCTACCACTGTGATGTCCTCGATTGCTTTGATTTTATCAAGGTTAATCTCGATTCCTCGATTGGACACCATGAAGCCGAGAAACTTGCCCGAGCCAACCCCGAAAGTACATTTTTCGGGATGGAACTTCATATTGTACTCACTTAGTATGTCGAAAGATTCCTGCAAATGCTTTAAATGGTCCTCTGCTCGTAGGGATTTAACTAACATGTCATCAATATAAACTTCCATTGTTTTTCCTATTTGCTTTTCGAACATTTGGTTTACTAGGCATTGATAAGTTGCACCAGCATTTTTTTAGACCGAATGGCATCACGTTATAACAGTAGGTACCGTACTTAGTGATAAACGAGGTTTTCTCTTGATCCTCCGGGTTCATCTGTATTTGGTTGTACCCGGAATAGGCATCGAGAAAACTGAGAATCTCATGGCCGGCCGAGGCATCGATCATACGATCGATATTAGGCAAAGGAAATGAATCCTTAGGACATGCTTTATTCAGGTCTTTATAATCTATACACATTCTAAGCTTGTTCCCCTTTTTAGGGACTACCACAACATTTGCAAGGCATTCGAGGTATTTTACTTCCCGAATGGACCCTATTTTAAGAAGTTTAGTTACCTCATCTTTGATGAAGGCGTGTTTGACCTCGGACTGGGGCTTTCTTTTTTGTTTTACCGGGTGGAACTTTGGGTCCAAGCTTAGCTTATGAGTGGTAATTCCCGATAGGATCCCTGACATGTCAAGATGGGACCAAGCGAAACAATCTATGTTAGATATAAAAAATTGAATAAGCTTTTTCCTAAGCTCGGGATCCAACCCCGTACCCGGGTATACCTTTCGTTTGGGCAGATATTCGATTAGTATGACTTGCTCCAGTTCTTCGACCGTAGATTGAGTAGCGTCGAAATCATCGGAGACCACGAAGGATCGAGGGATCCTATGCTCATCATCTTCGTCAGTCTTCCGATTCTTTAATTGGGTCAGAGCTGACGTTTGTGATTGCTATTTGGTATTCCGTTCCTCCTTCGAACCCGATGCTTCTGCCGATGATAGTGAAGATATCGAAGTTGCTTCTTCGACGGCAAAAATTTCTCTTGCGGCCGGTTGTTCTCCGTAAACTGTTTTGACTCCCTCCGATGTTGGGAATTTCAGAACCTGATGGAGGGTCGAAGGTACAACTCTCATATTGTGGATCCACGGCCTTCCAAAAAGGGCATTGTACCTCATATCGCCTTTAATTACGTGAAACTTCATTTCTTGGATGGTTCCGGCCACGTTTATTGGAAGAATTATCTCGCCTTTGGTAGTTTCACATTCCATATTGAATCCTTTTAGAACCAGGGTTGCGGGTACGACCTGGTCTTGTAGACTGAGTTGTTCTGTGACCTTCGATCTAATAATGTTGGCCGAGCTACCTGGATCAATTAACACACGCTTAACTTTAGTTTTATTCATAAGTACAGATATTACCAGTGCATCGTTGTGAGGTTGCATGACTCCTTCTGCATCTTCATTATTAAAGGACAGGGTTCCCATGGGTGCGTAATCCTGAGTTCGAGTGCGTTTAAGCATCGACCCCTGAAGGATATCGATCCCACCGATGATCATGTGGATGGTGTGTTATAGCTCTTCTTTTTTGTTTCATCTATTGAAATCCCTGTTTTTGAAATGATTTTTGGCCCGGTCACTTAAAAATTCTCGAAGGTGCCCTTTATTAAATAACCGGGCTACCTCCTCTCTTAGTTGTCTGCAATCCTCCGTTCTGTGGCCATGGATGCCATGATATTCACATATTTGATTGGGATTCCTCTGGGCAGGGTCGGTCTGCATAGTTCGAGGCCATTTAGTATCTTTGATGTGTCCGATAGCCGATACGATAGCGGATGCATCGATGTTGAAGTTATACTCCAACAACCGAGGTGCTTCCTTTGGTCCGGTATGCCTGTCGAACCCATTCCTGTTCATCAGCCCCCGAGATCCTTGGCCTCTATTATTTCTCTTTTCACCTCGTACGGGGGTGCGTAAAGGTTCGCTACCCCTACGATCTCCGTTATATGGCCGATATTGATCCTTATTTACCCTTGGTTCTCAGTCGATTTCCCTTTTAGTATCGGACCCAGAACCCAACTGGTCATCTTCGACTCTTATTTTGGATTGATACCGATTGTGCACGTCGGCCCAAGTAATAGCTGGGTACTCGATCAAGTTATGCTTCAGCCACCATGAAGCCATCAAGCTTCGTTCGTTTAGACCTTGAGTGAAAGATTGAATAACCCAATCATATGTGACTGGTGGTAGATCCATTCGTTCCATTTGGGAACGAGATACGAATTCTCTTAGCATCTCGTTATCCTTTTGTCTTATCTTGAATATGTCCGACTTCCTGGTTTCGACCTTTACGGCCCCAGCATGTGCTTTTACGAAAGAATCTGCAAGCATAACAAAAGAATCGATAGAGTTAGACGGTAAATTATGATACCATATCATTGCTCCCTTTGACAGGGTTTCACCGAATTTTTTCAATAATACTTATTCGATCTCATCGTCCTCTAGATCATTCCCTTTGATGGCACATATGTAAGAGGTGACATACTCGTTGGGGTCGGTCGTTCCGTTATATTTAGGAATCTCGGGCATGCAAAACTTCTTTAGGATCGGTTTAGGAGCCGCATTCGGGGGGAAGGCTTTTGTATGAATTTTTTGGAATCTAAGCCCTTCAATATCGGTGGTGCCCCCGGGATCTGATCAACCCTGGAGTTATATGTTTCCATTTTTTTGTCGTTTGCCTCCATCCTCCTTTCTCCTGACTCTATTCGTTTTGTCAGTTCTTCGAACATCTTAACAATTTTCGGATTAGTCCCCAATTCTTGCTCATTTGGTTGACCTTACTATAGCTGGCCCCGTTTTGTGGGTGACTTCTTGGGGTGGACTGGGTTCGAGCCTGGTTGGTGCTTGGGTTTGGCTCTGCAACTAGGCTATTGCTACTTGCTGAGCTTGCAACATCTCGAAGATCATACGCAAGCTGATTCTGTTTTCCTCAACATTTTGGGTATTTCGAGCTGCAGACCGAGTTCCACCATGAATGCTGTTTTCTGGGTCGGAACGTTGGTTCGCCTCGATGGCCGCATGTGAATTGACGTCTATTGGCTCTTTGACCCGAGCTCCAACGGGATCGACGAGTGGCCTTCCACCCCCGGGGGTTAAGTTGTTATTCTCGTCTTGAAGGCCAACTTCGTTGTCGATAGGTAGGGCCATTAATTGAGAATTCGTCGTTTATAACCTGAAATCAAAGATACTTCCAAGAGCAAGTGTAAAATGGTGTGTTTTGTAGAGATTCGTACCAAACAACCATTGTTATCCTTAGCCCCACGGTGGGCGCCAAACTGTTTATCCGAAAAACGGATAGAGATGAATTTGTACGTAGTTATAAGGGTACATGGTATAACTTGATACAAATCGTCAAAGGGGGTAGAAATGTTGAATATTGACCGTAAGCAATGAAATACAAACAAAGTTAAAAGTGGAATGATTTATGAATAAGTAAGATGAATCAATGTATAAAGCTCAAAGGGATAATCTCCCAGAATAGGAGTGTATCAAAAGTATCTAAGTTATATTCTATATCAGTGCCTTAATGGTTTTGTGTCTTGCAAAAATATAGCCATCCCTTTTATAGTGGAGGGATCCTACTTTAGATATAATTAAAAATACATAGTGGGGAACCCATGATAAATTAGTTTTTCCCTAATTCCCGTCGAGATTCTCTCCCTTAGTGCGGTTGTAATGGCTCTTGTCTATGAGCTCGATATTGACTCGAGCTAGATATTGATTCGGGCTCGGTATTGATCGGTCTCTGGCTCTTAAGCTCGATAACACCGCTTCGTATCAAAGTTCGATTTGGACTCGAGCTTGGTAATGACTTCGAGCTTGGTATTTGATCGGTCCCTGAAACTCGAAGCTCGGTAACCTGGCTTCAGACCTCATCTCGATATTATGAAGACGCTCTTCGGTCCATTAAGTTCCCATCTTAACCAATCGTACGAAGGTCGAAACCGGTTTTGACCGTATATACTATCAGAATCGAAGGTACACACTAAGGAGTTGTTTGGTTTGAATATAGGTTATGGTGGGATAAGTTATGCTGGGATTGTTTTTTATCTACTGTTTGGTATGTTGTATTAAAAATAACATTTGCATAATTTCTAAGAAGAATGTATGAGGTATAAGTTATCCCGTTATTAATTTTAATCTCGGGATAACTTATCCCAAGTTTGCTAATCAAACAGAGTATTAAGGCGGTATTAAATTTTATCCCAGTACTATTTGTACTTATAACTCATACCAAACGACCCCTAACAACATACATAAACATTAATACTGCACCCTCACCAAAACCAAATTATTAGAATAATAAGTAAATTACTAAATTAATGCACCTAGTGACCTGTTAAACGAACTTATTCCTCTTCCTTTTATTTTATAAAGCCACGTAAACTAGTTTTATTCACTTTCCCTTTCTATTATAAACCTCTGCAGGTGGTAAACAAATACGAGGATTGGAAATTGGTATCTCAGTTCCTGGAGAAAACTTGTCAATTTGAAAAAAAAAGATTGGTCCATTCCAGATTATTGTTTACATAGTCTCCAAAAAATATCTGAAGTTAATTAAATGAAGAATAGGACGCCTTATAAAATTTTTACCCAAACATAAACATGTAATACTTGATCCAACATATAGTGTTTATGGGCCAGGCCGAAGGCACGAAATCAAAATCAAAATCAAAATTAACCCAATACCCTAAACCCCAAATCACACTGTCCCCCTATCATCGTCCATAATGCTTAAACCCTAATTCAGCTACTGAGCAAGAACACAGTCAAAATCAATGGAGTTCGAGAAGAGAAAGGCAGCAACTGTAGCTTCAATAAATTCACCAGAGACAGACAAATCACCAAAAGGCAACATAGACGCACCAATTATCCCTTTACTCAACACCCTCAACTCACACCCTTCATATTTCACCACCAGTTCTTGTTCTGGCCGTATCTCCATTCTCTCAACACCCACCACCCCCTTCAACAACCCCACCAAGAAAAAAGCTAAAGGAGGCAAATGGGTCTTCATTTCTCACGACCCAATTCAACCCCACTTGATTTTACCACTCCTTTTTTCAACCGAGTCAACTCAAAAAGTCAGCGAGTTGAATCAGCCACATAGCCTTGTGTTCAGGTTTGAGCCTTTGATTATTGCAGTGGAGTGTAAGGACATAGAGTCAGCTCAGTTCTTGGTTTCTTTAGCTATTTCATGTGGGTTTAGGGAGAGTGGTATTACTAGTGTTAATAAGAAAAGAGTGATCATTGCTATACGATGTTCGATTCGATTGGAAGTGCCGTTAGGGGATACTGAGAAGTTAATGGTGTCCCCTGAATATGTAGAGTACCTTGTTATGTTAGCAAATGAGAAAATGGAGACTAATAAAAAAAGAACTGATAGCTTTCTTGATGCTTTGTTGAAAAACGGGTTTTCCGGTACACGGATTGGTAATGAGGAGTTTTTAGATAATGGAAAGGTAGAATGTGATGAGGGTCCAGTATGTTTTAATACCAAGGAGGCCGGATTGTTGGAAAATTCTTTGGGTAATGCTGTTAGTGGAAATGGAAATGCTAAAAGAAGAGACTTTGATGATTCTTATTCTGGTAATTATTCTCTGTATCATTTCCTAATTGATCCATTTCAGATTTCAGTGCAATTTTGCTTCTGTAGTTTAACGATATGAGCTTTTTTTACTCTATAAGATATTGTTGTGTATATATTGCAGATCATATAATGTTGTTGTAACATCATGTGATTGTGAATCTGCTGTGTGAGACATTGTTTTATACATTATGACAGGTGAATCTAGTTTTCTTGCATTGTTGTCGGGAAAACTTATCATAGAGTAGTCCACTAGAATTGGAAGAAATTGTTCATCTTGGTAATCTGCGAATGTGTAATAATTAAAGGAAATTGCAGAATCTTATCCGTAGATTGGAAAGCATGTTATAAAATGATAGGAAACGTGTCACATTGTATGGGTATTTGATGTGGATTATCAAAATAAACCAAAATAAAGCCAAACAAAAAAAGTGCATGTACCCCTGCTAAACACTTGCACACACCCTCATTGTATATACAACCATAATTGAGTCCATCTGACATAGGCCATGTTTCATTATTTGAACCCTAGGAGTGCTGTATCTGGGAGGATTCATGATTTGTTTTAACTTGCATGTCGATTATATCATTCTTGGACACATACAGGTGAATGTAAATGCTTTATTATGCTAAGTGTCAGCACTCTATAAGTAAAAACTGAAAGTGCTTAAGTATATGTAGAACCTGCTATGTTGATAAGAATGCAATGCAATGCATGTTTAATCGATTTTAGAGGCTTGAAAACCTCAAGATATGCATCGTAGTTTACTCTAAACTCAGCATCTTGACTCCTATATTCTCATTGTTTCATTGCCCTTAAAATTCGAATATATTATTAATTATACCAGTGCAACATTTGTTAATTGTTGCAAATGCATAAGCGTGGTAGTACTCTGACCGCTAATGTATGTTGCATTGCAGGATACATTCCCTTGAATGTGACAACAAGTCCTAATATTTAATTAATTGACAGGATCAGAAGTAGCCCCTGAAATCAACCTACACACTGTTAAATTAGTGATTTCTGGTGAATCAATTGAGAGGCTATTCCTCTGGGGTCACTCTGCTTCTACAGTGGATAATGTGGATAACAAGAAGGTTCTCATATTTGGTGGCTTTGGAGGAATAGGAAGACATGCGCGAAGAGATGATCTATTGCTTCTTGATATAGAAAGTGGAAGGATGGAAGTGATTGATGTTTTGAATGCCCCATGTCCACGTGTGGGCCATACATCATCTATGATTGGAGATTCAATGTATGTGATTGGAGGAAGAGCTGACCCTTTGAATATTCTGAATGATGTGTGGGTTTTTAATGTGACAAAGAAAGATTGGCGGCTGTTAGAGTGTTCGAACAGTCCATTCCTTCCAAGGTGCTGTTTATGTCTTCTTTTCTTCAATGGCTACTGTGTGAAGTGTTTCTGCTCTCTATATAGTTATATTCTGGTGTCTTCTTTAGCAGAAATATTACCTTTCAGAGATTTATACTCTTTTTTTTGTGTAAGAATCTCTTATATATAATTTATTTCTTAACCTCATACTCTAAGATAGTCAGTTACTTTTGTGCAGTACAGGCATAGACATGCTGCAGCTGCTGTAGGTTCAAGAATTTATGTATTTGGGGGAATTCAGAATGATTTAATATTCTCATCAGTGTATGTCTTCGACACACAAAACTTTGAATGGAGCGAAGTACAAGTTCAAGGGGATTTTCCATGTGCACGTCATTCTCATTCAATGGCAGCATATGGAACTCAATTATTTGTATTTGGGGGATATGATGGGCAGAAGGCTCTAGGGGACCTGTATAGTTTTGACGTGAAAACATGTCTTTGGAAGAAAGAAAAGATGATTGGAGGACCAGCTGCAAAATTTTCTCATTCTATGTTTATTTATAAGAAATATCTCGGGATCATTGGGGGCTGTCCTGTTAGTCAACAGAACCAGAGATTATCATTACTCAATCTGGAATCTCATTTGTGGAAGCATATTACTATCAGTTCTATTGGTGAAGGCCTGTTTGTTCGTAGTACGGCAAATATTGTTGATAATGACCTAATAATGATTGGTGGTGGGGCAGCCTGTTATGCATTTGGAACAAAGTTCAGTGAACCAGTGAAAGTAGATCTGTTACCTTTGATATCACTAATAGAATGTCCCACGCATTTACACGAGGAAAATAAGCATGCCATTTATCAAGAGGAAGAAACGATGAGAGAAATGAACATTTCCTCTTGTTTTCCACAGAATGAAGTGGAACCAGTAAATAACGGAAGCTTTCATCAGAATTCAGAGGGTAGAGATTCTGGAATTGCTGGAAGTCAGATGGTTGCTTCCCATTGGGTTATTCGGCTCAAAAGGAAAGATGCAAAAATGGCAAAGGATATGTTGAAAAAGTTTGGATGGTTAGATCTCGGGAGAAAGGTCCATCCGCAGGATGATGGAAAGGATATCTGTTTCCCTGTCACAGAAAACTTTTGCGCTTTATTCAACCAGAGAAATAACCTGGGAGATGTTCCTGAATCTGTGTGTCAAGAGGGAATACCAGTGAAAGATACATGCATTTCAACAGCCTTGAACATTCTGATTGAATGTGGAGCAACTATACTAGCTGATGAAATCGTCAGAGTTAAAAAAGCTTCACATTCTCCATTCAAAGTAATGTCTGAAGCTGTTGCCACTCTGTTAAGTGACCGAGGTCTGCCGTTGCAACTTTTAGAGGAGTTACCTTCAAGGTTTCATTTTTTGTTATTTTTGGCTTATTTTATCTCAGAATAGTGAATTAGTTGTTGTTTTCTAAGTGTCCAATATAAGGTGATAAGTTGACATCCTTCCTCTCATCAGATGGGAACGACTTGGTGATATTGTTGTGCTTCCCGTAACATCCTTCAAGGACTCAGCATGGGACTTGATTGGCCAGGAGCTTTGGTTTATAGTCGCAAAATCCCTGGGGGCTCATCGCCTTGCTCGACAAGTAAGTTAGTGATAGTTTATTACTTAACTATTCTTAGGAGTATTATTATGCGTGCTTTTAGTTACTTGCATTTTAGACAAAAGTAGCTTACGGTCCTAGTGTACACTTTCTTTAAAAATAATTATGGGTACTATACTCACAAAAAAATTGTGCATGCTTAACTATTAGTGTAAGATGTGACCCAACACCTGGTTGACATTCCTTTTGTATGTCGCTAATTTGTCGGAATTCCATTGTTGGTTGAGTGCCTAATGTCAGCGATACAGTCAGCACTTTTTTAGGAAAATTTTTGTTTTTAAAAAAACGATCCTATGAAGTTTGAGAATTATTTACCTCTTACCTTGTTCAAATTATTCTTTTTGTAATGAACTCGATGCTAGTAATTTCAATATTGAGCTGGGTTACCGAGGGCGTGGCTTTTGTTTACGGCTAGATGAGAAACAAAAAGTAGCTCCGTTCGTCTTTTTCTTTCTTTTTTCACTCTAAATATGTATTCTCTCTAATTGCTTAAGCTTCTAGATGAGCTGGTTGCACAATTCAAAATGGTACTAGAGCAGGAAAAAGTCCTAGATTCAAGTTTCACCTTTGTGCTTGCTTGGTTCATGAAAAAGAGATTCATACCTGCACGAAAATAGGCGTATTAAAGCTATAATTAAGCAAATATAAGTGTCATCTCTTTGACCTGAGAAAAAAGTGTCATCTCTAATAGCTTAGCTTTCAGATGATTTGGTTACATAATTCAACAACTATGACAAGCGGGTATAAAAGTGTGATAAGTTACTTTTCTTTAAGTTGTTGGGTAAATGAGAGGCCTCGTCAACTAATTGCGTGTACAAGTAGAAAGGAATATGATTTCAAGAAACTTAAAATTATCTTTTGCTGATATTTAATTTGAAATTGACGGAGTAGCATGTTAAATATGTTTAAGTCTTTTTTCATAACTTCTATAACACCGTGAATAGCCTCCCAGATTCTTGAAGTGTTAGTGGTGTCATAGCATTATTTCCTGCTCCTGGAGTGTCTTCTTATGAGCTCAGCTTAATTTATCCTGAAAACTGCCATTTAGGTAGTAGTTGAAGCAGTGACTTAACGATCTACTTGCTTTTCCAAAGTTGTAGAAATGTTCCACTGCCACTCTAGTTGATTGATTTCGTTGCTTATGTTGTTAATGGTGTGCGCTTAATTATTTAGGGGCGAATTGCACCAACTGGTACGAGGGACAGTACTTTGGAGATTCTTGTTGGAGATGACGGTTGGGTCAACCACCGAGAAAATGGAATTCTTTATTCCTTTGATGCTACCAAGTGCATGTTTTCATGGGGTAATCTCTCTGAGAAGCTTCGAATGGGCCACTTTGACTGCAAAGACGAAGTTATAGTAGATTTGTTTGCTGGTATTGGATACTTTGTCCTACCCTTCTTAGTGAGGTGATTCTTTGTTGCTTCTATCTCCTTTTCACTTTCTTTATGTACAATCATTTCAATCTCTGCCTTCAATTCGACTGTATAAACCTCGAGCAAAAATGGAGTTGGATATTTGATTGGTGTTAATTTAAGCCTTATTTATAATTTTTTTTTCACTTTTCACATCTCAAGGTGATTTTACGTGTACATGATTTGCACGAGGCAGTAGATATGTTATGGTCTTGATGCAATCCATTGATTGGTCTTAATGCCTAAAATTCCAGAATTGCTAATCATACCTTTGTTCTTTCCTTGATATCATGTCAGAGATTTATTGTGTTTGTAATGTACTTTGTTAGGGCCAAAGCCAAGCTTATGTATGCTTGTGAATGGAACCCCTATGCGGTTGAGGCACTTCGTCGTAACGTTGAAGCTAATCTTGTTGCTGATCGTTGTGTATTACTCGAAGGAGATAATCGAATTACAGCGCCAAAAGTATGCAACTTTAATCATTGCCAATGCCATCTTTTTTCTTAGTTTTGTTAATATCTTTATGCTTGTAAATATTTATCAGCTAACTTGTCTTGTCAGTTAATTATTTTTTTCAAAAAAGAAATTGCTTCACTTGCTTAGTTTGATTCTTGTGTTCAATCCTTTTAATGGGCATTAATATTTCGTCTCTGGATATTTGTTCACTTGCAGGGTGTAGCTGATAGAGTGTGTCTCGGTCTCATTCCCACAAGCGAGGGTAGTTGGGTTACTGCTGTCAGAGCATTAAGGTATGTATATCTCGAAAATGTTATCAATATGGTTTAGAATCTCGTTTATTCCCTTTAGTAAATCGATTCATAGAAAAGATTAAGACCTGTGGAAGCGGAAGGGAATGGAAATACTGTGTGATCTCTCTTTTATTTCGCTATTCTGTCTCTTGTCTTGCTATCAAACAAATGAGGAAAGAAAAAACAATTGGCAAATGAAATTCAACCGAAATCCTCCTTCCTTTTTAGTTTTTAAATTCTCTCTTTCTAATAACTGCACGAAAATTAGGGAACTTCTAACAAAAACTTTTGTTGAATGTAGTGCCTGGGATATTCTCTCATAACATGCAATAAACCTTGTTTCGATTTGCATTAGGTTCCTCGATCTGCTAGTCTCCTGTCAATTTAATCTCTAACCTAATGTGTGAAATGCAGAGAGAAGGGTGGTATATTGCACATCCATGGCAATGTCAAAGATTCTGAAGAAAATGTCTGGACAAACTATGTTTCCCAGTCAATTCAAGAAATTGCTAGATCTGAAGGTATATTTTTTCCAACCTTATATCAACAGGATTATGTTACATTCTTGCTGTTAAGCCTTGGCTAGAAACTTGGAGAAGTAAACCACGTCGAGATCGCTAATCGAATATTTCACTGTTAACAGGTCACTACTGGGATGTATCAGTAGAACACGTCGAGAGGGTGAAATGGTATGCGCCCCATATCCGCCATCTTGTAGCAGATGTGAGATGCAAACAGATTCAGACATAAGTGTTTGAGTTCAGAAATCCCATTTGAAGGTTGCTGCAAACAGTAGCTGCTGAGGGTTCTGTTCAATTCATTATTTAATTAAGCTAGCATGTGGACTATGAAATGTTATCCAGATTGACCATCTTAGATAAAAATAGGGGAAATATATTAGTGATGTTATGTCAAGGGTGTTTGGTAATTACGAGTAGCATTTTTTGGGGGTGAATTTTGTATTATTTGGGGAACTTTATGCGATTAAAGAAATTAAATCAAATATGTGCTCCATTGAAAAAAGATAATTATGTGATTAAAGAATTAAAATATGTTGCGAACAAGGTGTAAATCTGTTAATGTATAATTATGATTTATTATCCTTATTGCTGATTTGTTATCTCCTTGGAACATTAGTTCTATAATATGCATTTGGTTTTGTTTTTCTTTCCAGAACGTGTTTGAATTTGGTTTGAAATAATCAGTTTTGAATTGGTTTGGAAAAAAGGAAAAAAAGAGGAAATACTAGTTTCGGAAATTTTTCCATGTAAAACTAGTTTAGGCTGAAGTCAGTTATAAGGTTGGTTTCCGAGACCAAGTTGGTTTAGAAAAACCAAGAACTAAATCCAAATATGTTTGGGTTTAGCTTAATCCCTATAAATACCAATGCCTATACCAATTCCTCTTCATTCACTTCTTTGGAATTTTTTTCTCAAACCTTCTGCTAGTCCAAACTTTTTCCTAAGAAAAACTTTTCTCATGGCATCATCTTCAAAAATAACACCCGCAACAGAGAATAAGGTTTTGATCTTGAAGAGTAACGATGGCGACGAGTTTCAACTAGAAGAATCCATCGCCATCGGGTCTGTAACAATCAAGAACATGGTAGAAGATGATTGTGCGTCCAACATCATACCACTACCCAACGTTGACACTGAAACCCTAATCAAGACTATCGAGTACCTCAAAAAGCATGCAGAGATCTCGGGTTCAGACGAAGAAGAAGAAGAAATCAAGAAAACAAAAATCAAGGACTTCGATAAGGAATTCGTTAGCGTTAAGATGCAAAAACTCTTCAACATCATATTGGCTGCAAATTTCCTTGACATTAAGCCTTTGCTTGATCTTTGTGCTCAGGCTATTGCTGACAAGATTAAGAACAAGTCGCACGTGGCTGTTAGAAAAATTTTCAATGTTGAATGTGATTACACTAAAGAGGAAGAAGATGCCATTCGAAAAGACAATGAATGGGCCTTTGAAGGAGAAGAATTCGATGAATCCCTTGACTAGACTTAATTATGTATTCGTTTATGTAATCTTTAGGGTTTTTGGTTATGTTTTAATATATTAGCTGTTTCCTTTTATTTTTCTAATATGAATTTTTGTCCTAGTAATTTCGGTTTCATTACCCTACTTATATGGGATTTTATTAGAAAACTTATTACCTATGAATTTAATACTTCGTTGTGTTTCCATTCGTTATGAATTTTTGTTTGTTATATTTCAAAATCAAAAGATCAAGCATAAGTCAATATATATATGTACAAACGAAGCTTATAACAATGATTGATGACAATCTGTTGCTCTCTATTTGCTTGCAATTTTTACCGTTCGCATTTAGTGTGAAGTAAAAATAAATATCGTTTTCCACACGGTTCAAAAAGAATTTTTTCTTTTCTTTTTCTTCACAACATATACGACGACAATTTTTTCTTTTTAATTATAACTTCTAAACCAAAGTTGGGTCCTATCTGCCATTATTCAAAGAAGAGGGTTAGTGCACAAAATATCCTAAGCTCCTACAAGCATCTAAATCTTAGCTTACAAAGAAATTGGCTTTAATTATCATACCCAAGTTTAACACCAGATAATTGCATCTTGTCTAACTGTCAAAGTACGTATGAGACTCATCTCCACAGCATGTTTTAGTGGAGTACTAGTTTTGTAAGGTTAACCACTGTAGTGTTGTTTAGTATAAAGATTTACCAATAATTATATTATGAATTACCTGATAGGGCAAGTATATTATACACGATATATAGAATTTAAAGTAGATTGAGAAAGATAGTCGTTAGAAAATCTCATATATGGTTATTTCACAACAATTCATTAAAAAGGAAACTTACTTGATGGCACTTGATATCCATAATAAACTACCTGCTAGTTGCCTTTGATGAAAGATATATGCTAAAACCTTTTCATGGAATAAAATGAAAAATTCAAGAAAAACAAAAGGTGTATATCACTGAATAGCTAGCTGGTTCGGGTGGAATTAACACCAAGCTGATCTATTGACACGTAATGTGTCAAAGCAAAATTGATAATTCAGGTTTGGATATTTTCATGATTTTATTCATTATTAAATCAAGGTAGTAAAATATAATTGGTGCTCAAGTAGTGTATAAACGAGATTATATTTAAACCATTGCCGTCACATATATAAAAGAGCAAGGATATATCTGATTATTTTTTAATTGTTATCAAATGATAGCTACTTCAAATAGTTCAATCGAACCAACATGAAAACAAAAGATAGCTATAATATACTGAACATATCAAAGGTATTCTGGAATTCAATATTTTCAACCATCCTTCATTAAGAAATTAATTATGATTTTCCTTTTATTAGCATAACTTTTTCTTTTTCCAAAATTCAAATGATATTAGCTTGATCGATACAAGAAAGAGATCTATTATGATTAATTTCAAATATCACTCGAACCAACACGAAGACAAAATAGCTATATATAGATAGCATATAAATGATCGAATACAAAGTTTTCAAGGAATAGATAAATACTATCAAATACCCTTTACTATATCAGATCGTTTCTACCTTTTTATTAGCATAAAGCTTTATTTCAAAAATCAAACACATATCCACCAAATCGGTACATGAAAGAAATCAATTCTATAGGATAATTCAGATCAAATATAAATGTTTCCCTTCACTACCATAAAATCCTAGTTGGTAGTATCATCAAGGTCACCTTCAAAGGCCCAAGAAGTTTCCCTTTTAAACTCTGCCACTTCTTCTGAGGTGAAATCACTTTCAATTTTAAAAATCTTCTGAACGGCTTCAACACTCTTGTCCTTTATTCTGTCAGCCACAGCCTGGCAACAGAATTCCAGCAAACCATTGATTTTCAGATAATTTACTGCCACGGTTATGTCAAGCAGTTCTTCTAAGACAATATTCACAAACTCTTTCTGGATATTCTTGAAGTCTTCTTTGTTCGAGGTAGCAGTGAGCTCCGCATATTTCTTGAGGTATTCAATGATTTTAACCAGCGTCTTGCTTTTGATGCTAGGCAATGGTATGGTGGAAACACGTTCATCTTTCACCATGGTCTTGATAAGATCAGACTGTAAGACCAAAGATTCGTCAAGGTGAAATTCTTCGTTATCACCGCTCTTCAATGTTAACATTTTTTTCTCTCCCGTTGTTGATGATGATAATGCCATGATAAGAACTTGTCAACCTTTTTATTTTTTCTTCTTGGATGAAACATTTGGGGAACCACATGATGTATAAATAATGGTACAAGAGATTTTCTTAATCGGATCATACTTAAAGAATATGGAAGGTATTCTTTCTGATATAAATTTCTTACTGAAATTATCTTTACTTATAATCTGTTTATGGATCACAATATAAGTATGTAATTGAATACTATAAGCCAATCTCCTTCATTTAAGCTTACTTAATTTATTAATAAGCAGTTCTTTGGACTCAAATCCCGCATATATATAGGACCATCATCAACAACATATCAACTTCGATATTTGAGGTTAAAATTAAAAATGTACTAGACATTGGGGGAAAACAATTACATGTTTATATATTACTACGTACTTATAAACTGGGATGACATTTTGCTCAACCTACCACTCTTACGATTTAAAAGAAATTCATGTAAAAGGAAATTTTCGAAATTCTTCCATTTCAAATAACTAACTAAATGGTAACTTATAATAATGATACAAAAAATTTCCTTAATCGGATTAAACACTAAATGATATCATCGAAGGAAATCCCTTTGGTATATATTAAATTATCCTAAAGATATCTTTGCCAATTATAAATTTGCATGCATCACAATGTAATTTCGTCATCAATTAATGAATAGTATAACAATCTCATTTTTTTAATATAAATTGAAACACAATAGTGCGTTTTATGAATCTCTTCTTATTATTCATTACAATGTTACAATTAAGGTGGCTCACTGGATGAAAATTACGCGTTCTTGTAGCATAGAGGACATGCGGTCCATATTTCCAAACAAAGGCTATAAAGATTAAAAATGCGCATTATTTAAAATTGTTACGAAACAATAAAAGAAGAAGAAGAATATTACAGAGAGAGAATTCTTATTGATATGAGATGAATTACAATGAAATAGAACCCCTCTATTTATAGGGGAAAAATGACTTAGCCACCAAGTAACAACCCTAAAATCTCTCTAAATATAAACATTCACCATAAATAAAATACTATTTATAACACTCCCCCTTGAATGTCTATTCAACAGATAATGTGCCTCATTAAAACCTTAACTAAAATAAAAACCAGTGGAAAAATATTCTAGAGAAGGAAAAAGAGTACACATATCTAACAATACGTCTTTTGGTTGCCTCGTTAAAAACCTTGCAAGGAAAACCCAGTGGAATAAAACCTTGTAAGGGAAAAAGAGTACAATGCGTATTAACTCCCCCTGATGAGAGTATCAATTCACATCCTTGAGCCTTCGCATTCCAATCTTGTGCACCATCTTCAAAAGATCGTTGGTATATATAGATTTGATAAATAAATCAGCCATATTAACTTGAATGAATATGTTGCACCTTGAAATCATCATTCTTGAGAGATATGTAATGTCTTCATAAAATACCGTGGAATGGCCTTTTCAATACCTCCATAAAGATTCTCGCTATCATATTATCATGCTTATAGTTATAGCAAGATGCATATGTGCACAAATTGTACTTATGATGTGGTACTTCAGGACCAAGAATAGTATATGCTTTAAGCAATTTAAATCCTTCAGGGATTGTCATATAAGTTAAGTCATATAAGTCATATAAATAGACTTTAGATGCATATCAAGTTTTCATGTCATGATAGACATCTAAGATAGATAAATGTGATTGCACACACCATTGACTTTATACTTTCAAGTGTTTGAACTGCATGTCAAAAACTACATGTCTTCCATATGAAATCAATTCTACTTGAATTGTTTCTCCAACTTAAGATCCTCATATATATATATTTAGCATTATCATAGATGTAGTCGACGAACATTTTATATCGGTTCCAACCTCCATTTTTCATAAAAACATAACGATCTCTTCATTCATATTTTCAAGTACCTGAACCTCTCGTGAGATTTTATGAAGTATTATATCATATGATCTTCTAGATCACTAGTCTCCTTAATATGATCATTTGCTCATCTTCTTTATCAAGAAATTTATTTGAAACCGATTTGTCTATATGCTTTAAACGTACCATAGACTTTGTCCTTCTAGGACTTATTCTAATAGGAGCATTTTCAGTGAGAATATAGTTACTTTCTTTGGGTCAGCAAATGCGCCTTGAATGCTTTGCAATATATTGCAGATGAATTATCTTTTTATGAATTTCAAGTTCATATTATTTTATTCGAGGATCTAGATGTAGAAATGATAATTCATTTCACGTAACTTTTTCTCAACTGTTTATCCTGTCCCCCCCCTCCCNCATTTTGAGTATTATAACCCTGTTCTCCCATTTACTACTCAATTTATGTTCTATAGTTGTTTTATGACTTACCGGGTTAGTTGGTTCGGGTCCAGAAGAAATTCGAAGTGAAATGAGACACTTAGTCTCATAATTAAAAATCTAAGTTAGAAAAGTAGACCGGATATGGACTCAGGAGCGTGTACGGAAAATTATTTGGAGGTCCGTGGTGGAATTAGGCTTGAAATGCCGAAAGTTTAATTTTTAGAAAGTTTGACCAGGGGGTTGAATTTTTGATATCGGGGTCGGAATCCGATTCTAAAAATTTGAACACCTCAGTTATGACATTTATGACTTAGTGTGCAAAATTTGAGGTCAATCGGACATGATTTGATAGGTTCTGGAGTCATTTGTCGAAATTAGAAATTTTAAAGTTCATTAGGCTTGAATTGGGGTGTAATTCATGGTTTTAGCGTTGTTTGAGGTGATTTGAGGGTTCGACTAAGTTCATATGATATATTAGAACTTGTTGGTATATTTGGTTGAGGTCCCGAGGGGCTCGGGTGAGTTTTGGATTGTTAACGGATCAAAAATTTGAACTTGAACAGCTGCTGGAATTTTTTGATATCTAATGCTGTTTTCCTTCTATGCGATCGCGTGAATGCGTCTGCGATCGCGTAGGCTTAGTTGGTCAGTGGGGGTTTTGTTCTACGCGATCGCGTGGGGATATCTGCGATCGCGTAGTGTTAATGTGAGGCAGTGATATTTTATGCTTCGCGATCGCGTGAAGCGGGACGCGAACACGTAGCTCTGTGAGTTTGTTATTCGCGAATGCGTGAAGAAGGTCGCGTTCGCGTAGAGAAAATTGGGCATAAATGGAAATCACGCGTTTGTGCTTCGCGATCGCGTGGTTTGGTCCGCGATCGCGTAGGTCTGTGATGTTATTCATCGCGATCGCGTGCAAAAGTCCGCGATTACGTAGAGTTAAATCTGGTTGATGGAAAATTGTTCTTCGCGATCGCGTGGGAATGTTCGCGATCGCGTAGAGCAAATGTCTGGGCAGAGAGTTTAAGTTATGAAAATGGGACTTCGTCCCATTTTTTAGTTTTTGAGGGATTGGAGCTCGGGAAGAGGTGATTTTTGGGAGTTTTTAAAGAAAAATAACGAGGTAAGTGTTCTTAACTCAATATTGGTTAAATTACCCGAATCCATGGTTGTTTTTATCATTTAATTGGTGAATAAATTAGAAAAGTTTGAAAACCCTCTTAGTTAAAATTGAAGATTTGAGGGTCGAGCTGGGGTCGGATTTTGGTAAAATTGGTATGGTTAGACTCGTGATTGAATGAGCTTCCGGATTTTGTAACTTTTGACAAGATCCGAGATGTGGGCCCCACAGGCGATTTGTTGAGCTAAATTTCGGATTTTTATAGAAAATTAGCATTTTCTTATGAAATTAATTCCAATAAATTTTATTGACTGAATCGAATTATTTGTGGCTAGATTCAAGGCGTTTGGAGGCCAATTCAAGAGGAAAAACCATTGCAGAATAAATAATTTCACGGTTTGAGGTAAGTAATAGTTTTAAATCTGGCCCCGAGGGTTTGAAACCCCAGAATTTTTGTGTCATGTGATTATTTTGGAGGTGACACACATGCTAGGTGACGGGCGTGTGGGCGGGCACCGAGAGGATTGTGACTTGGTCCGTCCCGTGGAAACTGTACAGTTGAATAATTTATTGTTAGCTATATGCTCTCGATGTGTTGAAGAAATGTGACTGTAAATCATGTTAGAAATCATGTTTAGGCTATGTTATAGTACTGTTGGGACCCGCAGAGGTCGCGTACTTGTTGAATTATTTGCTAATTATTGTCTTGTACTCAGTCATGATTTTTCTTGCGTATTATACCTTAGTCTTTCTGAAAATTTGTTGATACACTATGTTATCTTTGTTTGGGCTGATCTTTGTGATTTTTGAGAGCTCGTGAGACTAGAGAGGTTAAGGACGTAAGGCCGAGGTCCTGTTGGTGAGGTAAGGATATTATGGCACGTGAGTTGTCCGTGCAGGATATTATAGCACATGAGTTATCCGTGCAGCACGTGCGTTGTCCGTGCGGATTAGGGCTCTTGGGCTGTAGGAGCCCCTCCGGAGTCTGTACACCCCCAGTGAGCACGAGTACCCATTGAGTGTGAGTGCTGAGGGCTGAGAGACAAGTGGTTGAGCGATTGTGACGAGTTGAGTATCTGTTTCCTGAGAGGCTGTACTTGATTTTCATTTGTTGTTCCACTAGTTGCTATCTGTTATTGATGTGAAATTCTCTGAAAGATTTTATATCCGGATCACATGAACTTGAACTGTATAAAAATGATTTGACTTAAACTTTTAGAATTGAAAGCATATCTACTCTCTGCTGGAATTACTGAAAATGAATTATAACTGTGTAGCTCGTCATTATCTTCAGTTCCTTAGTTATTATTGTTACTTGCTGAGTTGGTTGTACTCATACTACACCCTGCACTTCGTGTGCAGATCCAGGTGCTTCAGGACATAGCGGGTGTTGATTCTCTCGCATAGTTGATTTTTCGGAGATTCAGAGGTAGCTGCGTTTCGCAAATCTTGTCTCTCTTTCCATATCTCCTTGTTTATTGTATTTGGTCTTAGACTATTATAGATCGTGTTTTCCAGATTTGTATTCATACTAGATGCTCATGTACTCTATGAAACCAGGTTTTAGGGAGTGTT